CCTACCCACCCACACTGTCTGTGTATCTTCTTAACTTTCCAAGCTATCTTGAGCTGACCTCATTAAGAAGAACATACTAATTAATCAACAGCGACGGCCAGCCAGGGGTTCAAGTCATTCTGTCCACCAGAAATTCACTCGGGCTGAAGAGACCGGCCGGTAGAAGGAGCCAGAAGCAGAGGGACACCAGATGGGCAGGTGCTTTGAGGAGGGGGCTTCTCACAAGGTGCTTATCTGTTGGCAAAGCTCAAAGAGAGGCCGGTCCTGTCAGTGGGCCCGGCTGTTTCCCAGGCACCCGTGGCAGGAGAGGAGTCGGGCCAAGGGAGGGCCGTTGCCCCTGCTGAGAACGGAAGCCTCACGTGGGAAAACCACCGGACGGAGGTGAGGCGGCTGGATCGCGGATCCTTTCCGAGGATGCCGCTGGGACCTTCCAACGGCCAGAGGGCATTTTCAAGCATCTGCCCGGTCCCCCTTCAGCCTCCAGTTCCATTCGGAAGCTGCATCCCAGGATCACCAAGCAGGCGGGGGGCAATTTGCTCAGAGAAGCTGGCTCCCGATCCAGGGAAGGGTGGAACCCCAGCGCACGTCTCCATACACAACCACTGCCCCAGACTGGCACGCGGAGGAAATTTGGCTGATTGAAGATGTGGCAAGGAGTTTCCAGGAAGTGCCACATCCTGCTTAGGAGAGAGGCAGCCCCAAAGTCTCGGGGAGGCTGCCGGTTTGGAGGAAAAGGGGAGCTGACACAGCGAACAAAACCTTGCCGGGGTTTTTTTTGCCTGGGTCGCACATTCCCCACAGCGTGGTACTTGTCCATGTTGCATCAGCAGTGGAAGTTGACAGCTGTCGGTCGCCACCCATTGTGACACAAGAGCCTCCAAGCCATAAAGCCAGCCTGGCACCATGTTTTCTGGAGGCAGAAATAACAGCCACTGGGCCAGGATCTGCGGTCCAGTCCTCCAGGCCCAAGGGATGTTTTTTGGCTGCTACTTTTAAAATATCTGGAGTCTCTGTTGCTGCTGGGAGGAGCAGGAGGCACTGGCTGTTTTGAAGCATCTGAGGAGGAGCTGAGCCGGAGGCGGTTTTCATTGCCTAAGGCAGGAATCCTATGAAAGGCTCCACGTTCGTGTTCTTGGCCTACTTGACTGAAACCTGCAGGGGAAGAGGACACACATCTGATGGGAGCTCCATGGGAAGCATTTGGGTGACTGGAGCAATGGATCCAGGATGAGCCTATGAATTTGTTGATCTCAGGATCTGCAAGCGTACCAAGTTCGTTAGCCTGCGAGGGCAACTGTGACTTGCAACACGCGGCTGTGTTTGATTGAAGCATCCCGCAGCACGGCTGCAAAAAGGTTGGGCATTGCCAGGGTGTGAACCAGGAGACGGTGAGAAAAGGAGCCAGGGTGCTGAAAAGAGGTGGGGAACCCAGGAGAGGTCCGAGCACCCAGTTCTTCCTGCTGAAGCGAATGCGAGTTTCAAGCCTAAGTGGCGTTTCCCCAACTGCCCTCTGTGCAGCCCTGAAGCCGCCCTCGGTTAGCGCCCTTCTTCGCCCGCCTTGAGGCCCAGCTGGCACAACCTGCCTGGGAGCCCCGCGTGACTCCCTGGGCGACGGGCTCCCTGTGGGGAATGACGCTGCAAGCCGTGCTGAAAGAAAGCTGCTCCCTGCCCTCCTGCGAGGAAGCGCCAACAGGCGCTCCAGGGAGGGACAGCGCATGAATCACAGCCGAGTGCCAGCCAGCCAGGATGGGAAACCTGGGCAAAACCAGGTGGAGTTTTTCTCATCCAGAGGCCCACACACGTCGCTTCATGGGGCAAAGCGTGCCTCCCGTGCCCAGCTTGCAACCGTCCGCAGGGTCTGCCCCACTGGCCTTTGACGGGGACACGCAGAGCTCTGGATGGACCAAGGGCCAAAGCTGTGCCCAGGACAGAGTGGACAACATGGGAACACCCAGGGAAGCTGGCCTAGGTGCCCTATCCAGCTTCCTTCCTGCAGGGAAGAGGGAGGCGTGGAAGGGAAGGTTCTGCCCTTGAGCTGATGGGAGGGGATCCAAGATGATCAGCGTGGCAAGATTGAGTAATCTCCCAGGTCAAAGGTGCCTTCTCGCTAGAGCTGGCTTCCCGGCTATAAAACCCTCGTGAAGGAAGCCATGGACCTCAAACAAATATCCAGTTGCCTCAACTTTCCCCTTGCAGCTCCTGGAACTGAGCGGAAACATTCCCTGAGTATCAGGCTGAGAAAAGATCGCTTGGCCCGGCCTGGGATCCCACTAGGCCTCCCCAGGACCTCCGTGGTTGTTGTTGAGGGTCCCCCTTCGCAGCAAAGCAGCTGGCCACCCGTCTTGCAGGCCCGTGGGCCTCACCTGCGGGTGGACCGGTGAGGCCTCCACCTTGCACAAAGAGGCTCGCAGACCTGAGCAAGGGGACCCGGCTGTTTGCGCTTCCATCCGCCTCGCAGCCTCCTTGCAACCCAGACGCCGATTCTGACATTCACTGCACCCTCGCAGAAAGCAAGAGACGGAAGGAATCCCAACAGACTTACTTAAAAGGTTTATTTAACTTTTTTTTAAAATTTGAGGTAAAATATCTCATATCAACTTCCATAACAAAATACAGAGCTATCAGATACCCCTGGAAAAAATATGTATATTATACATATATTTCTATAACATTACATCATATATATAATATATATGCAAAGGTTTTTTTTTTTGAAGACTTTATAGAAAGTGGAACGTCTAAAGGCACTGCACAAAAGCATGAGGACTACTTACATTTTTTTTTTTTTAGACACAATTTTTAATCCTGCTTTACATGGACAAATACCTCAAGCTGTGAGCTGCTGGCCCCGCTGTGTTTTAGTTCAGTCAGTCAGGGCCATCTCATGAAAACTTGTTTTTTCTCTTTTAAAAGGAGTGATCAGTAAATACTTTGCCACTTTTAACACTCTAAAGTTGAATTTTTTTTTTCCTAAGAAAAGAACCTAGAGAGATGCCCCTCGAACCCAAGACCGGATCTCCCTTCCTAAGCCCCCCCCCGCATCCCTAAGGCGCAAAAGGAGACAAGAGCAAAGCAGGGGTGGAATAGAAGCCACCCACCCCACCCCACCCCACCCCTCGAGGTAAATTCTTCCCATCGGAGGGGAACACAGCACACCGTGTCCCCCCCCTCTCCCCAATGGGGAGGCAAGGGGGTCTCCTGCAGCAGCAGGCTTCTGGATCTGAAGCCCCCGGCCCCCAACTCTCGATTCCCTGCTGTTTGAGACCCCCTCCCCATTGAAAACACCCTTGCTAGGGGGCCTTTGGTCAGCCTTTAACAGCCAGAAGCAGAAGCAGCCACCAGCTGCCCCCCCCCCCAGTTCACCCCAAAGGCCCTCCTTGCAATCTCCTGGCGAGGGAGGGGGGCACGGCAAAAACCCATCTAAGATTTCCTATGGCTACAACACATCAAAACAATTTCCAAAAAGTACGCCCGCTTCTTTGATTAGTGGCAGACGGGATGCCCACCCTCCGCACCGGAGCAGCGGCTTCAGTTTTTGGCACAAAGAGCCATTTGGGCTGGCGGGCCGGCGGGCCCCCCCAACGCAGCTCACCAGGGGAAGGGGCTTTGCCGCTCCCCCAATGCATGGCGGGAGGCAGCCCCCCGACCCACCTGGGGCTGGGGAAGGAGGCACATCCCAGGCGCCGGAAAGCCCCCCATGGGCCCCTCCTCCCCCAGCCCCCCCCCCCGGAGCACCCGAAGCCCTTTTCTCCCCAAACAGGCATCGCAGCTCTCCATGCAGGGGAGCCCCCCCACCCCCAAAGCCCAGAGGCAGTGATTGCAACGGGCACAAGGTGGCGATGGTGCTCACCCCCCAGCCCTCCCTCTCCCCAAAGAACCCCGGCAGCCCCCACCCCGCGACCCCCACCCCCTTCTGGCACTTGGGTTCAATAGAAGGAAAGAGCGCACATCCCAGGCAAAGGCGGCTTTTCACGTTTCAGTTCCTGAGTTTTGGGCCCCACGGCCAGCCCCCTTCCTCTGGGGGGGGGGAAGAGGACCCCCGGGGGCCCTCCCCTCCCCTCCCCTCCCCCCACAAAGCAGAAAGGGGTCTAAGGCTTAGGCATGCAAGGGGGCGGCTGAAGCAAGGGGGGAAGAGCTTTTGACCGGATACCAGACCGGTCTGCAGGTAAGAGCAGAGACACCCCCGTCACCCCCACCCAGCGCCCCCCCCATGCAAAACCGCCTCAATGGCTTTCTTCACATGCTACAAACACAAATCCTGCAGAAGTCTGCAGCCACGCGAAAGGCCAGGCTCCATCCCGCCCAGAACGCTCGCTCCGAGCAATGAACAGGAGAGTGGGTGTCCAAAGAGGGGCAGCCCCCTTTAGAGACCCCCCCATCTTCTGAAGCCACAGAATCCTCAAGCCCCCCCCCAGCAGGGGAGGGACCACTGAGACTGTGCCTGCCACAGCCCCCAGGAAAGAGCCTGGCGCGACTGAGGGCACCAACCACCCCCCCCCTTTCGTTTACTCTCCCTGTTCGGCAGCCCCCGGCTGGAGGGCCAGGCAGTCCGACACCCCCC